ATGACACAGCTAACCTGGTTGTCATCCTTAACGTGTTTCTCGTAGGCATCTTTGACCGCTTTCGGGGCGTTAGCGGGAGGGGCAGGAGGAATGGGCTTTTCGAGCACATACTCTTTCTCATCCATGCGGAGAACAATGCAGAGATTGCGTTGCCAGTCAACAAAGTTTGTTCCGTTCAATTTATCTTTATCCAGAATGGGACGCAGGGCGAGGTTGTTTGTGTTGTTGTTTGCCATCTACAGAATTTTGCGAAGATAGTTATTATCATGAATTAAGTATCTAATAGGTCTTTATTAAATACTCTCCCACTATTTCTAACAAGTCAACTACCCTCAGGTATGGAACCTATTGACTTGGGGTTCCTATTTGAAGAATACCCTAGCGGGCCAAGATCCATATTTTATTTAACTATAGTTGTGCTTTGCATCTTGCCCTACAGTTAAATTATTTAGGTAGGAATTCATTCCAATTGCAATCGTTATTACAACTCTTGGTTCGGTGGATTCTTTTAAATAAAATTCTTAGTTGGGCCAGATCCATATTTCATTTAACTATAGTTGTGCTTTGCATCTTGCCCTACAGTTAAATTATTTCTGGTAGGAATAAATTCCAATTGTAAGAATTTACAACTCTGGTTGGATGATCTGATTTTATTTATTGATCCTACCACAGTGCCATAAGTCTCTCATCCTTATGACCAAGACTTAGTTAAGACTAACCCGGGGCGAGTCAGTACCCTAGTTACGGGTTTCGCGCCTAACCAACGTAAATCGGGCGTCTCACTTGGGTGAGTCCGTTACCGATCTAAATTGGGTTTGACGAGTGACGGGGCGTCGAGGTGGCACAGACTTAAAATTATGAGGGATTTATAACGCAGTCTTGCCTATGGCATACACCGCGCGTATGCACTAGCGAAAATCACATACATGCATACATTCAATCATACATCACATGCATAATAAGTAAACGTGAAATGATTGTGGCTCCTAAAGAAAAACAAACGATAGCGCCTTGATCAAGAGATCTCTATCTCCGGCCCATCACGTCTTCCTTAGGATTCTCTATCACGAACGGACTTCGTCTTCTT